TACATGACTATTTGGTAATTCATGTCATGCTACTCTGTCCCCCAATGCTGTGCGAATATTTATCATATTGCATTAGGTCATCCAATTCCTATTATTGTGAAAGCGATTTATTGTGAAATCACTTTACATTTTACATCATCTTTTCACTATGACATGATTACTGATGTTTATTATGTTATTCTTATCAGATCTGAAAAACGAGCCATATCGGCGTGTAGATGCTATCAGAAGGAGCCTTAGAAGGCGACAAGAAGAGGAACTTAAGTTGTCTGCTGTGGATGAAATGTGCATGTAAAAAATGTCATGTTTTAGATTTTTGTATTATATTATTGTACATACCATAGTAATTGCTGTGTTTTACATTGCCAGCTATTTGGCCCCACAGGCTTTTTAAGATATATGTGAAAATGGAATGTTTAACATGTGTTCCATATTTTAATTTTAGAGCTTTTTATTAATTTAAAATTATTTTTAAGAAAATGTTTCCATTGCCGTGATTTTTTACTATTGTTTCATATTTTTTAAATATTGCAGCAAGTCCTCCAATGGTCCAACTTCAGAACTGGCTCCATACTAAAATTTTATCGGATAGATACCTTTTTTTTATATTTTCTTATGCTTCCAGTAATTAGCCATACAAAAAATGTCCTGTGTATTCACACATTAAATATCCCTCATAGAAAGTGTACATGTGAAATAAGTGTTACAAATAATTAGAACATGCACATAACAAATAAAATTGCTTTGATGTCAACTACTGTCTTTTTTGGTTATTATTTCACTATTGATATCAAAAATTATGGAATTTTGTTCATAAAAGACACCTTTTCATCTTGTATGTGCTTTTGATATTGCCTCTGTAGTGTTATAAAAGGATTGTCTGATGCTTCGTTTGGGATTATATCCACCATATTGGTTAATCAAAACTATTTCTAAGATTCGAATACATCTTAAATTTTCACCACCTGACAGTGTATGCAATGCACTTTTTGATGTAACACTGGGTGTCAGCTCTTGTCTGTTGTATATTAAGATGATTTTATGTTAATGCTTATAAACTATATTAACCGTATTTGATCCATTAGAAGCACACTTCAGCCCAAAATTGCATTTATTGCATACTCAGTTATGTAAATATGACTTGTTATGACCAAAGATTTTCTTCCATTTGTGTCTGGATCTGTCATATCATAAA